TAAGTCAAATTTAAGTGTTCTTCTCTTTTAATTGTAATCTTTAGTTCCTTCTGGTTCCCTCCAACCTTCAAAGTCTCATCATGTTTTTTTTTTTAAAGAATTCAAAACAAAAGCATTTTCCCATGGGAAGAATTCCTACGATTAATTCCAAAATCTTATTTCAAATCCATCTGGACCTTTAGTCCATTTATAACTTTCTAAAATCAAAGTTCTAATCACCCTTTTGCTGTTTATTCTCCCCAGTTTTTTTTTTTAAGTCCTTAAACTTGTATTTAAACATTCTTTCACTAAGGATTGAAGGAAAGTCACCTGGTGATGTAAAACTTATTAGTCCAAAGGTTCCTAATAGCTGAAAAGCAGTTAACAAGCAATTTCGGAAAGTGATTAGAAAAGGAAATATGCAAACCTAGTGTCTTTTGAAGGCGCCAACTGTGGTTCAAGTATGATTGCTATTCCCTTGTGTCCCAGAGCTCTAAACCTTCTGGACACCACTGTCTTGCGGTCTCATAAGAAGCAACTGTCTGGAGCACTTGTGGGTGACCTCAAGTCCTCTCCTTTGTCCAGAGAGGAATTACAAAGAGCCGGTCTACTTGCTGGCTCTTCATTCCACCGCAGTCATTGGCTCCACTTTTAGTGGAACTGTCTTCAGTTCACCATTTCTTCCCTGGAAGTCCTATTATTTTTATTTTCTAAGAGAACTTATTGGAATGAGGCCCAGAGATAGGCTTGGAAATAGAGATGCTACTGGAGATTGATGCATTGCTTTGCAGTGTTCAGCTTCCCATTTTAAACATTTAATTTTTTTTTTAAGTTAATGAGATAGCCTAGAGGCCCCTTGATGCTAAGAGAGCTGTCTGTGGACACACTGGCACCCTTAGGTGCCATGCTGGAAATCTAGTCCCAGCCCCCTTTTTTAAAAAAAAACATCCTGCCATCTGAAAACCATAGTGGGAGCAACAGAGATTGCCTCTGGAGCAATTTTACACAGCTACTACCCAATAAGCAAAGGGTAGCCTCTGAAAACAATAAGCAATTAAGCAGTGGGCGTACCATGAGCTCTAAACGCTCTTAGTCCCCTGCTTAAGAAGTCCTTGCTCAATCTGACTATTTTGGATAATTTTAGATCTGTCTCCAATCTTCACTTTCTGCATTGGTCATACTTGTGGCGACCTTTGGAGAGAGCAGGATCAAAGGAATGCAACTTTACTGGTCTTTACTGGTCCTCCTTGATGTCTCAGAGGATTTCAGTACCACTGATTGACTGATTGATTGATTATTTATTTATTTATTTATTTATTTATTCATCCATTGTAAATGGTGCACACCATGAGATAGTGAGAGCAGTATTCTTCAGTCGCTCTCATTCTTCCTAAGGGGGAGATTGCTCTCAGTGCTGGTGCGGGGAAGAGAGACTTCTGTTCTGTGGAGTGGTTCAAGGCTCTCTATTCTGTCCATCTCTCTTAAACATCTACATGAAACTGCTAGCAGCTCATCCATTGGCACAGGGTCACACTGATTATACCTTCTCCTCCATTTTGGCCCCAGGCCAAACAGGTAATGCAGCAGAAGCACTGACCCAGGGCCTGGAAGTTGTCAGGGTCTAGATGGGGAAGAACAGACTCAGAATGAATCCTTCCAGATGGCAAAGCTTGGGTTGGTGGGCCAAACAATTCCAGGGTAGTGCCATCTTTGACTCTGAACAGGGTCTTCAACTTAGAGATGGTTCGTAACTTGGGGTTCTTTGTGGACTCACAGCTCCTGTTTAATGAGCAGATGGCAGCTATGGCCAGGAAGGCTTATGTACAGTTACATCTTGTGCACCAATTTTGGTCATTCCCAGGTTGGGAGATCCTGTTCACAGTTACAACTACTATAATGTGCTGTACAAGGGACTGCCCCTGAAAAGCATCTAGAGCAGTGTTTCTCAACCTTGGTAACTTCAAGATGGGTGGACTTCAAC